GGAAACAACCACGAAGGCGGAGATTCCGATTGATTTTTTATTTCAAAATGTATTACATATTTTAAATGCATCCTAATTCTCAATTGTACTTCTTATTTCAAATAAATATACTTGAATTATTTTATATTATTGTGTACATCAATTCAATAATTCAATTCAATAAAATTCATTTGTAAACTTGTACTTCATATGTAGCACTTCTCAAATTAATTAATTGGTTACAATTTTACAAACTTATAACTTACAACTTGAAATTATTTTTGTAAAATCTAAAGGCAGTTTTTAAATTAAAATATGTAATATTAATATGTAAATTAATTAATTTGTTACAAACTTACAAGTTACAAATTAATTAATTGGTTACAATTTTACAAACTTATAACTTACAAATTTTGTTTTTAATAACAATTATTATAATTAGAAGTATATAATAAAAAAAAAATTAAAAGGACCGGCCCGAACCGGGCCCGTGAACCGGGCGGGCGGCCCGGCCCGAACCGGACCCGGGTTTACCCGGGCCGGTTCCGGGCCACCCAAACCGTGAACCGAGGCCCGGCCGGTTCACGGCCCGAACCGGGCCCGGCCCGAACCGAGTCCATCCATAGAGGGAGTAGAAAAAGAACTAATAAAATATTATAAATTAAAACTTCTAACATCTTTCCGATCACTAGAAAAAGATTCACTTCTTTCAAAAAATAAGATTATAGTTGATTTACATTTATAATATGGAGTATCACGTAAAATATTAAAACAGAAAAACTCAAAGAGTCAGTGGTACAAATGTTTTAACATTCACAATTTTAATCAAATGATTCATGTAAAAAAAAATATAAATGTAATTTGCTATTGTTAACGCCAAACTTAATAAATATGTGCTTATGTGATAAAAGCCAGCCATCTTTTTGTGCCGTTTTCTGTAATTTGCTATTGTTATCTGTTTTCTACTCCTAACAGCCACAAACCGCGATGCACCGGTCATTCTACAACCACCATGGAGGGTTATCATCAGAGTCCAGTCTCTTCCTACTCATTTAATATTTGTCTCTGCCAACGACAAGCAAGCCGGGGAAGATATTTTAAGTAACATCAACTTTAAAATTCATCTCCTACTTCTCATGGTCCACATTTACTACATGTAAACAACTTCATAGTCTTTTAAATGTTAATTTTTCCAAATCGTGGCTGCATGTTCTCCACTTCAATTTCTTATTCAAAAACACTTGCAACTTTAAAAAAGACAATTGCCGTGCAGTTTAGGAAAAGACATAGTGTTTGATAAAATGCCTATTACATAAACTCTGGCTATGTACTTCTCATACAGTAATACACAGCCTAACTGTATTTGTATTAAATTTAAGTTCACCACACCAATTGCTGGCAGTGAAAAGGATAAATAATTACATCACACTACTTTCAATACCTTAAAAATTTTCGCTAAAATGAGTACTACGGATCCCTTATTGATTATTAAAAACTTAAATGATGTGTTGGTAGAGAATGTTGTAATCGCTAGGTAAAGTACCACTTCAACATTGGTCTTTAAACTGGAAGTTATAACTATTTATAGTGTAGTTTGATCGCTATTGACATCTAGAAAATTGAAAGTCAGTGGCGGAGACACTTTTGATCAAAAGTGTTCACATGAACACTTAAAATTTTCAGAAACAAGCAAGTATACATGTATAGTTTTTGTGAAATTATTTATTTTTCTTTCAAGTTTTAATTGTATATGTAATGAACACACAAAATGTAAATCATAAATCCGCTAAGTAATGAACACTTTTCTTAAAACTGTTCAATCATTATATAAATATAGTACCCCGTATATCACCTTGTTGTTGTTTCTAATATTTTTATTAATATTAGAAAGTTTTTATTAAAACTTTTCTTCCGGCAGATGACTAATATATGTTGGATGTATTTAAAGTCTCTGTTATCTAAATATTTGGATTTTTTTTTTTTGCGTTATTGTTACAAAATTTGTTGGAGTAATATTCATTATTCTCAAAAGTTTTATGCAAACATCAGTATTACTGTTAGAAAATAGTCTTACCTTGAACCAGGGACGGAACTATGCCTTAGGGTAGGGGGCCTTGGCCCCTCCCCAACATTTTATTTTTTTAGTACTCCCTCCGTAACTTTGAAATCTTCCTATTTCAAAAGTAGGTAGATTAAGAATAGTGAAAGATGATATGAATTATTGAGGGTATGATGGGAAAATTGTGGAATAATGTGGTGGAATGTAGGATAAATCCAAAAAAAGTAGTTGTAATAGTGTATTATTTTAAAAATTATTGAGGGTATGATGGGAAGATTTAGAAATGAGAAGATTTTTTTGTTACGGACGAAAAAGGAAAATGAGAAGATTTTTAAGTTACGGAGGGAGTATTATCAGTACCTTAATAAGGCTTTAACAGAAATTCTTTTCTCCATAGTTTACCTGCAAGCAAGTTATTGACCGAATAGACATGCGGACTTGCCATTTACAGTGATGCATAAAAGCATCAATCTGAACTAGTAAAATAGAGTGGTAATGATAGAAACAATAACTTTAAAGAATCTAATAGGTACGTAGTATTTAACATTTTGAATAATCATTATGGGTTCCGGGGGCTTTGGCACCTCAGCAATATTTTTTTTATTTCATTAGATTTATCTTGTAAAATATTTTGACCCTTCAATTTTTGTTAATTTGGGTATGGTAGCAAAAAATACTTTAATTATCTCACAATTTTTTATAGTTGATAAGAAAATCCTCATTACCTTGTGATACCCGCCATATTTTAGAGGCATACATGCTTAATTATGTTATCCCAAAAATAGACGGAGTATTACATAGTACGCAGTATTAGATTTGATTGTATGAATGAAGTGTAAAAAGTTTCACGGTAAAAAACGCATTAACACTCTGCCCCCCCTCGTCACAACCTGGCTCCGCCAGGAGCCAGGAACTGTGTTTTTCGTGTGATAGTTGATGCTATAATTCGAGAATGTCTTTAGATGCAAGAGGTTGATTGAACAATTTCGAACACAAGCCCACCATTCCGGGTAGTCGTGTACTCAATGATTTCGAAGCAATTCGAAATATCATGGCCTAAACATTTGCAATGGCCACACACGCCTTCGTTTCCCTGTCCTTGCCTTGCTGAGACTGAGTTCAAGCCTTTGTTTCATCTATGTAGAATGGTATTTGAATGCATAAATGGATTGTTCACTCCAGGAATGACTTTATTCAGATAAGGGAAGTTGGGTATATTCCTAAAGAAATCGTTTACGAAATACAGAGTAGGCTTCCGGCAGATGAAGTTCTCAAATGTCAACGGCTCTCCAAAGAATAGAAGGAAATTGTTGTCCACTCTGCTATTCTAGCTAACCCAACTCTCAAGAGCATCTCCAATTATCCTTGTACAATATGAATGCTCGACTTAAAGTGTCAGCCAGGGTAAAGTGCAATTATTTTTTCTTGATGAAGGTGCAAAAAAGAAGGATAAGATGTTAAAAAAATGTGTACACTAAGCCCACACGTAGTGTGCTAAAGATCCAGTGCATTCTTATTTTTAGCTATAATGGGTTTCTTATATTCGATGAAGATGCACTGTGGATTTACACATCCAAGTACTTTATTTACCATCCAATTACACGAGAAGAAGTAGCCATCCAAAAACCAGTGAAGAGAGGAGGTCGTATTTGTGGTATGTATCTTCACCCTTCGACAGGGGAGTACACGTTCGTATCTTTATGCATTTCACGAACGTATGAAACATATATTTAGCCGTATTTTATACAATTGTATCGTATTATACACGAACGTACGTATTATTGTATTATTCACGAACCGTATATTACTAACAAAGATACGAAGTATAATTTATTATTGACATACTATCAAAAAAAATATTGACATGGCAATTTATTTAACATTTACTTAAAAAAAAAAAGAGTAAGATGTCAAATCAAATCAATCATTTTTCGGGAATCGGGAGTACTATAGTTACCTTAATATCATTCCACATATTCAAAAGTCAAATACTCCGTATAAAACATCACTCTATAAAATTATACTCCGTACTCAGGTACTACGTAAAATACTATGGAGTACAATACTACAATATAATACTACTCTAATACTTATACGTTACTTACACTAAGTTATACATTCATTGAACTTCACAAACTACTAAAACGGTAAAACCTGCTTAATGTAATAAATGTATGCATATACACATTGTTTTAAAAATAGTTTGGTTAATTGATTCCAAATTTTCATTTTTACCTTCTTTAGACACCTATTATTTATCCTGCTAATTTAGAACTCTCATATTTTTACCGTACTACTTTTTATATCAACACATTCAATATAAATTACATTATCCGTAGTTATATAAACAAGTCCACTTGATCACTTTTAGCCACAACTTTTTTTTGTATTGGGCACACATCGCACGAAGTGCGTACGCCGCTAGTACAATTATACAAATATGCCGTATTAGCTAACTTTATCATAATAATATGAAATGTATAGAAGTTAAAATGATATTTTATCGTATGTTGAATATGTATTTATGTATATATTAAAAATGAAGAGTGAAGATAAATACAAAGTGTCCGCGCGCGCGCACACACACATCCACGCACGCACGCACGCACGCACGCACGCACGCACGCGCGCACACACACACACACACACACTTCGGTGCTCGATTCGAAACCACTACTTTTCAGATACACACACAGATACACACGAAACCACTACTTTTCAGTTCGATTCGATTAAACCAAACCATTTTATCCACCTTAACTATTCCTATCGGCCCGAGCGACTATGCTTGTATATGAATAGAAATTTAACACCTTTTGTGAAATTCAAAAGTTGGAGAAAGAAAGAAGCTGAGGAGAAGGGGCGGCTCATAGCGTGGGCAAGGGTGGGCTCTAGCGGATCCCAATTTTTTTTAATTTATTAGTATGGGTATAGATTTAATATCCAGCCCACTTCAAAATTAATATCTAGCCCACCCCCAAAATCAAAACCCAGCCCATCCAAAGTTTAATGGAGGTCTTTTACCCTCTCTACGCAATTTGCCAATTGCGATTTTGGGAAGACGAAGCGTGAAGAGCAAAAAAGATCAGAGTAGAGGAAGTCTAGCCAACATTGGTCACCAGCCGCCTTCTTTCCAGGTCCAGCACTCGCCGCGCACCGCTCCAGGCTCCTCCATCTGTCCAAGTATCCACAGCTCAAGCTCCGGTGCTCCACCGCTTCAGCCTCCAGCCCTCCAAGTATACTCTACGTCTCGGTTCTGTTAACTATTTCAGTGTATTAGTTTGTGAGTTGTGAGTTTTGACTTTGTGTATTTTTTAATTTTGTAAATGTATTTGATTATAAATTGATTTTTTGAGTAGAAAATAAAGGTAGAATTAATGATTAGAGAATGGTTTATTTATTATACAACTGAAAATTAGAGAATGAGTTATTTATTGTGTGGACATGTAACAAAGTTTTAAATTTTCAATTGAATTTTGAAATTGGGAATAGTCATTAGTTTTATTGTTTTATGTTCAACCACTGTTTTTTTCTTATTAGTTTTATAATTTTATAGCAGTATTTTAATTCATACCAATATTGAAAATGTTTTTTAGAATTTATAATGTACATATTGCTGAGAAATGAAATGAATATTTACTTAGTATGAAATTGAGCTCGAGTTTGGCTTGATAGATATTCGGTGTTCGATTTTAACGCATGATAAAAATTCTCGAATATAAAAGTTTAGACTATACTCGCTAATAGATTCATGTTCGAATTATTCAACAAATACTCGAATCTTTAATAATCATTAATAAATTTATAAAAATGCACTAAAAACATTTAAATTTTAAGATATATATAATCTCTTCCTATAATATATAAATGAACAATAGGCTCGAATCCGGATCGAACCAAACATCACTATGTTTGAACTCGGCTTGAATAACTATTCAAACTTAAAACCTAGTCCGTGTTCGAGTGCGAAACTTCTTAAGCTCGGGTCATTAGATTAGATTCGAAATCAAGCTCGAACTTGAGTATGTAATTCGAAAAATGCTCCATTCGATAGCAGTTATGAGCTAGACTTTGTTTGTATGTATAGTACGTAGTAACAATTTTTTACTGCTTTGCCCACCTCTCAATCCTGTATCCGCCCCTGGGTGCAGACTTTCTTTCCGCACTATCACCTTAAAGCTAGACGCTGTTCAACTCCTTCGGCATCACTTTGTATCACAATTCCTTCCTGCTCAATGGCTGAACAGAACCGGAAAAGGCAGATGCCGACCATTCCACCGTACATGAAGGCCATTTCCGGATCTCTGGGAGGAATCGTGGAGGCAAGCTGCTTGCAGCCCATTGATGTCATCAAGACTCGGCTTCAGCTGGACCGGTCGGGTTCGTACAAGGGGATCGTCCACTGTGGCTCCACCATCATCAATAAGGAAGGCCTACGGGCTCTATGGAAGGGATTAACGCCCTTCGCTACTCATCTAACTCTAAAATATGCCCTTCGGATGGGATCGAACGCGGTACTACAGTCTGCTTTCAAGGACTCCAAGACGGGGAATCTCAGTCCTTACGGAAGGGTTCTATCTGGTTTCGGAGCTGGCGTTCTCGAAGCTCTCGTCATTGTCACCCCTTTCGAGGTTTGTTTTTTCAATGTCCAATTGTCCATAATTTGTATAATTTCTGTTTACTTTCTGTTGCTTGCTTAATGTTTGCAATTCTACAATTATTTTTTGTGACCTGGAAATTGACTATGCCTCAAGGACTGTGATTAGTTGTTGGGATTTAGTAATTTAATTTAATTTATATCTTGTGAATCTGGTTGGTTTTTTCTTGCAAAAGCATTATATTAAAGTCGAAGCTAATAGTTCAATGAGTATATCACTTACCATAATCCATGTGAAATGGGCTTCAGGGAAATGCTTTGTTGTTCTCTTGTAGTTCACGGCAATCCTTGTGTAATTCTTGAAGCTCTTATCATTGTCATCCCTTTCGAGTTTTGTTTTTTCAACGTCCATAATTTGTGTGAATTCTTTTTTACTTTTAGTCACTTGCTTGATGTTTGCAATTCTGCAATAATTTTTTTGTTACCTGCAAATTGCCTATATTTCAAAGACTGTCATTATTTGTTCTGTTTTAGTTTTATAATTTTATCTTGTGAATCTTGTTGGTTTTTCTTGGATTAGCATTATATTGAAATCAAAGTTAATAGTTCAATGAGAATTCACTTACCATAATCCATGTGAAGTGGGCTTTAGGGAAGTGTTTTGTTTTTCTCTTGTAGTTCACACACGATCCTTTTGTATAAATTACGAACATTTAATAAAAAAAATTGCTTGAGCTTGATTTTACTTGTGCTCTTGATTTTCTGAAAGCTGAGACGAGGAAAGCTAGAAACATAAAGGTTTAGATTAAATGAATGGAAATTGCTCAACGTAGGACTAAAACACTCATAAAGTTTAAAAGTAGGATTAAGTATGTTTTATTCCTCAAATAGGACTTACTTAGTCCTATTTAAAAAAGTTGATTAAAACATCCCAAAATAAGAGCTAATGAGTCTTATTTGGGGATAAAACAAGGCTAGTCTTATTTATGAACTTGATCTTTATTTTAGTCTTATTTAGGGAATTTTCTCTTAAATGAATTTATTAAGATTGATGGTGGGGCTGGACAAAAGTTTGGAGACAATAAGTAAATCATGACGGTCCAGTCTGAAATTAGGCAGTGTGGGAAGGAAAATGTAGAATGTGTTTGCTTTTGTAAGGGTAGAGGTGCTGGATCCAAAATGAGTGAGCATCAGAGAATCAATTAATTGAAAAATGTGCATTAAGTTGGTATCATTAGTTTGAAACAGGCCAAAATATTTGCCAGTGTAATACAATGTCTCTCATTTAAATGTGTATCATATGCTGGAACATTAGTAATTGTTAAATACCCTTCCTGTTACCACCCTAGCTGCAATTAAGTTTTCATTTGGATCTCTCTTTCTGTTCATATCAACTCTCTCATGTTGATCGTAATCATGCAGATTTGTGCTCCTTTTGGTAGCTGTGATTTGTTTATTTTGGTTATAATAAAAAAGAGGAGCTTTTGAGTTACTTATTCTGCTTAAAGGGTTGTTACGAAATGTTTTTTCTTTCAGAAAATTTAGCCTATTCATCCTAGCAAACCTTACCCCAATAGACCCTTAGTGCCCATCGGGTAAACTTATTTTTTCACTCATCAGGCTTATCAGCCACCAAACTTAGTCTCAAAAGGACCTAGATTGATTAATAATGAAAAAAATAAGATTGGAGGTTTTGTTTTACTGAATTGGCTGAATTTATTAAAGGGATAACTTTTGTGTTTTCTTTATTTTATTAGTAAAATATATTTAAAATAATTTGTTTTCATAATTCAGCAGATTAAGCAATTGCAACCATAACTTCATTAATTCCAATAGATTTAACCCATTTTAGTTTTTTTTTTGAAACATAACCCGTTTTAGTCTTAATAAATGTGATCTTGGTTTTTTATTTCTGATATTTTCTTATTTGATGCTCTAGACTATAGCTCCCTAATCGATGCAGCCAAACAAGTCACACAGCTATGTGGTGTCGAAAGGTCAATAGCTCATCTAGTTCAGTTGATGTAGGTGGTGAAAATTCAGCTACAACAGCAAAGAGGTTTAAGCCCGGAGTTTCTAAGATACAAGGGGCCCATACATTGTGCCCGGTCGATTATCCATGAAGAAGGGATTCGTGGCCTATGGGCTGGAGCTTCCCCAACTGTGATGCGAAACGGGACGAATCAGGCTGCCATGTTTACAGCCAAGAATGCATTTGACACGTTACTATGGAAGAAACTTGAAGGTGATGGCCAAGTTCTTCAGCCATGGCAGTCTATGATATCAGGGTTCCTTGCAGGAACGGCTGGTCCTATTTGTACTGGACCTTTTGATGTCGTGAAAACAAGGCTGATGGCTCAAAACCGGTCAGCGGGTGATTTGAAGTACAGAGGAATGTTTCATGCTATCTCTACTATATATACTGAAGAAGGTCTGCGTGCTCTATGGAAAGGTTTACTTCCCAGGCTTATGAGGATCCCCCCTGGGCAGGCCATCATGTGGGCTGTTGCTGACCAAGTAATTGGTTTGTACGAAAGAAGACATAGTATAGCTTTATAGGTAGCTTGCCATTGCCGTTGTTTTTCTTCTTGCTGTCTTTTAGTTTATTCTTTGGCGAAGCTTGCAAGCTGTTTCAAGCCATTTGATTTCATTTCGGTCATACTTTTATTAAATGACACGGTAATTTAGTCTCCTGCAAAAAGTCTTGGACTAGGCAGCAACACTGAGACTTCATTATAAGTATTGCTCAAAGCACCTGTTTAACATATGCTCGACCTTTCAAAGCTATACAGTGTGAGCCTGGACCAGCTGCTTGTCATAGCACATCCATTCTATTGGAATGGGGCAGTTTAGATGGGGTGGATGTCAGATCTAGTGATCCCTGTTGACCTGCTCAAAATTTGACTGGTTGATGCCTGTATATTAGACAAGCAATTTAATATTTATAGATGGATGTTATATTTCTGTTTATCTTTTCATTTTTTAAATCGGTCAATTATAGTGTTGTCAAAAGAATCCATTTGTTTAACTATATAACTATATTGATGTGAAAAATTAAGTTATTTGTTTGGAGTTCATACAAGGGTAAATTTATGCGGTCAATGGTTAGAGCTATCCTTTATCCGTTGGAGGCAGCAGTAGAGGCTGCAGCAGGGTTGATGAACATAGCAGTAAAGCCGGTGATGGTTGGAGGCCAAAAAAGTGTGTGTGGTTGGAGCATGTAATGCCTTAGTTGAGTTGGCTGGTTCTTGTGGTTACCCAATGGCATTTATGCACTATGCAGTATGCAGCTCTGCTAATGGGCTAGTTCCGATCTCCATTTCATTGGAACCTATAGGGGACAGTGAGCTTACTGCCTTTACTGGTTTGTGGGATCCATACCCAATCACTATAGCTCTGTCTAGCTACTCCGCATGCCAGTTCCCTCGATGACTCATTGCCAATGTCCCGCATTTGGCTGTGTTGTGAATCTTGTGATGAAGGTTTTCCTGCGTTCACTTGCCAAGGTAAGTGAAAAATATGAAATGTTACACATGATCAACAACTTCGTGTTTTCGTTCAGCTGACATTAAAATTTGGTCAATTGACTTCTTTTGTGTAATCAAGAAAAGAGCATCACCGCCTCAAAGTAATGACCTTCGAAGAGCAAAATTACCTCTCCAATATCACAGAGCAGAGCTGAAAAATGGATATGACATAGACTACCTCTCTACTAGTATATCCTACCTCTAGAGTTCCAACTTGAGTCCTTGTTTATTTTTAATTGAAGTCCTCATATCTCGTCCCTAATGATTTTCAACCGCAGTTCGCAATTCGGCTCCGTCGTCATCACATAAACGGGCACCACGAAGCAACAGAGCCAAGGATAAACTGTCTTCCTTCTACATCTTTTAGCATCTCCATCTATCTTCATCTTTAATTTTGGTTAGGAGCACTAAGGAAAAATGGCGGGAGAAAGAAGAAAGTGGGAGGTATGAAGAAACAATTCATCATTTTCATTTTCATTTACCCCAGTGCCGCAAAGGCTCCCACCTACGGTGGGGTATGGGGGTCGGATGTACGCAGACTTACCACTGTACTAAAGCACAGATAAACTGTTTCCGGATGATCCATAGTGAAAATCGCGTCCAAAATTGCATGGACTGACTACTGCTTCATAACAAAGAAGCGCAGACAGTTTAATGAGTCATTTTGCTTTATTCCATCATATTCTCAAGCCAAAAATAATGAATTTTTGGCTCCATTGCAAATGATGGAAAATATGAAGAAACAGTTGAAATTTTTTTTTAAAAAAGAAAAGATTAAAAATGAACACTTCATAGCCGGTAAATAGTAGGTTAAACAACTCAAATTGAAAGTTTTTTGGAAGTTTGAGAATTCAACATAGTGTGCCCGTTTGGTAGCACTAAAACTGGCTAAATTAGCTGATTATGCTGAAATTTATGAAGTTCTAGCTGAAGTGGTTGTATTGGCTGATTGTGCTGATTCATGAAGAAATTATATCTAAAATATTTGTTATTAATAAATAAAATAAAAAATTATATGAAAAAACAGCTAAAACGATCCGCTACAAAATTTCAGCCAATACATCCAGAAAATTAACTCCAACCTTACTTTTTCTGCTTATTACACAATTCTGCGCGCGAAATCAAAAATTACGCGTTTGGTGATAAAGCTGACTGATAAGCCTGATAAGCTAAAAAAGGGTTCACCAAACGGGCTCGTATGTATGAGTTTTTTTTTAGATAAGTATGTAGTATACAGAATCATAGTTTTAGGGAATAATAGCTTACCCTATTGGGTGCCTTGAGGTTGAATTTATACTAAAAGGAGTTTAGGAAATTACAAAGTAAACCTTTATAATTACATTATTACACCCCCTCAATCTGTGCAGGGGAAACAACGCACAGATTGGAACGTAAAAATTCAAAACGCTGACTAGATAAGTTTTTAGTAAAAATGTCAGCCAACTGCAGCTGTGTAGGAATGTACTTCACGACAAGGTCCCCATGAGCCACCCGTTCTCGAACAAAGTGATAATCAATTTTAATGTGTTTGCTTCGGTCATGCTGAATAGGATTAACAGCTAAGTATGAGGCAGAGACATTGTCATAGTGTAGCTGGACAGGTGCCGAAATATATATCCCCATATCGGCTAATAAAGATCGGATAAAAAGTGTATCCTGAACAGTATATGCAATGGTCCTGTTGTATTCAGCTTCCGTGGAAGATTTGGAGACTGTGGGTTACTTCTTAGAACGCCAGGAGATGAGATTGGAACCCAGAAAAATAGCATACCCTGTAGTGGAACGTGAACTATCGGGGCATCCAGCCCAATCTGCATCAAAATATGCCATAATAACAGAAATATTTTTGTCAGATTTTAGCCACAAGCCGTGAGCAGATGTCCCTTGGAGGTACCTGTAAATTCTTTTAACAGCCAACAAGTGAGTAGTGCGGGGAGCATGCATAAACTGGGAAACCAAATGAACAACATATGTAATATCAGGTCTAGTAATGGTCAAATACTGTAGAGCACCTACCATACTGCGATACTCAGTGACATCAGATAAAAGTTCCCCATCTGTGAGAGAAAGGGTGGTTCGTGAGGGAAGAGGGGTCCGCACAGGCTTGACTGTGTGAAGATGAAAATGATGCAAGAGATCAGAAATATATTTAGCTTGTGATAAAAATAATCCTTGAGGCGTGCGTGTCGCCTGAATGCCCAAGAAATAATGCACATCGCCCAAGTCTTTCATGGCAAACTGAAGAGATAATGTATGAATAACAGACATAACAAATGAGAGAGAAGAACCAGTAATGAGAATATCATCGACATACAGAAGAATATAAACGACCTGGGAATGAGAGCGGTAAACAAACATGGAAGAATCAGATTTACTCTGTGTGAAGCCCCGACTCAACAAAAAATCACTGAACCTATGAAACATGCGCGTGGAGCCTGTTTCAAGCCATTAAGTGCCTTGCGCAAACGACATACATGATTAGGAAAAGAGGGATGAATGAAACTTTGTGGTTGACGCATATACACCTCTTCAGTTAAATAGCCATGCAAAAAAAGCATTTTTGACATCAAGTTGTCGAACACACCACCCCAGAGAAATAGCAATAGATAAAATAAGACGAACTGTAGTGGGTTTAACGACAGGACTAAATGTTTCAGTGAAATCAATATCAGCCTGTTGTTTAAAACCCTGAGCAACTAATCGAGCTTTGTGATGCTCAATAGACCCATCAGAACAATATTGTGTCTTATAAATCCACTTACAGCCAACCACATTTTTAGTGTGGTCCCACGGTACTAAATCCCAAGTTTTATTAGCAATTAAGGCATTAAATTCATCAGCCATGGCAGCCCGCCAAACCGCACTCTTATTAGCCTGTGTAAAGCAAGTCGGATCATCCGGGGGAGCTAGAACAGTTAAATTAAAAATCTGTTTGGTTTTGAAAATACCATCCTTAGCACGTGTTCGCATAGGATGGATATTATTAGGAAAAAGTGGCAGGCTAGTTGTTGAAGAAGGAGAGGTCGGTGGGACTAGGATTGGTGGACGTGGGAGTTGGGGAGGTTGATGGACTACTACTGGGTGAAGGTGGGCTGTTAGGGACTGCCTGGGAACCGCAGCTGGGGCTGGCAGTGCGGATATCAGGTGGGGTGGAGAGGTTGTAGGAGTGAGGGGAAATCTGGGGATTTGGGTGTGATGGGTGTAGAATACGGTTCACCTATGGGTGTGGAAGGATCATTCTGGGAAGATGTGGTAGGGGTATTAGCATTGTTGGATAGGCTGGGTAGGGATGGTCTGGCCGAGGAGGTAGACATCCAGGACTGGGTGAGGATAGCAGTTGGAGTGGACTGGTTTGGCACTAAGGTAGGATAGGGAAAAATATTCTCATGAAAAAGGACATCCCAACTGACAAAAACGCGTCCCGTGGAAGGAGAAAGACAACGATAGCCTTTGTATCCCAGTGCATAACCAATGAAAACACAGTGGATAGATCGAGGTGATAGCTTATTATGAGAGGCAACTATAAAATTTGGAAAACATGAACAACCAAACACACGCATAAAATTGTAATCTGGAATTTTGTTAAAGAGTTTCTCATAGGGTGTGAGGCCGTTCAAAACCGGTGTAGGAAGACGGTTTATAATAAATGTGGCAGTATATAAAGCATCAACCCAGAATGAACTAGGAATAGAGGCATCAATCAACATAGTCCTAGTCAATTCGAGGAGATGTCTGTGTTTGCGTTCGGCAACACCGTTTTGAGCAGGAGTTTCAGGACAAGATTTCCTGAATAAAATTCCAGATTTCAAAAAATGCTCTCTAAAGATGTTATTGTCAAATTCACCCCCTCCATCACTTTGAAAAATTTTGATTTTTAAATTAAAAAGGTTTTCAACTAGTTTTTGAAAATTTAAAAATTGAGTAAATACTTCAGACTTCCTCTGCATCGGATACACCCAAGTATATCGAGAAAAATCATCAATAAAAGATACATAATATTTAAAACCAAGATTGGATAATACTGGCGATTGCCAAATATCAGAATGAATAATTTGCAAAGGTGCAGTAAAGTCATGAGTAACATCACTGAAAGGAAGTCTGTGAGATTTACTCAGTTTACAAGAAACACAATCATTAACAAAAGAGGAGGAAGTAGAAATTAATTTATGCTGCCTAAGTCTACCAAGAATTCTATCACCACAATGCCCCAAACGCTTGTGCCAAACTGTACCGGGTACAACGCGGGCTTGAAGGGCATGAAAAGGGTAAACATTGTCTTTATTAAGTGCCTGAAGAAGAAGCTCCCTGTGTGATTGTCCTTAACAGAAAAAGAATTTTTATCAAAAATCACTTGACAGGCATTATCCGCACATAATTTTTGAATAGACAATAAATTATATTTAATATGTGGGACATGATAAACAGAGTTAAGATTTAACGGGCGACCACGAGTGACAAGCTTTAAATGGCCAATATTAGAAATAGGTAATTTCATACCGTTAGCAACACACACTTGATGAGGGCCACTGTAAGGAGTCTTACAAGAAAGAATACCCCTGTGAGGAGTCATATGAGCGGAAGCCCCAGAGTCAGGATACCAGACTGTGTCATTGGTTTCACCAGTGGGTAAGGCAGCAAGAGCCGGGGTATGTGAGGCAGTGAAGCGGGAACAGTGAAGTGCTGAATGACCTGGAGAAAAACATAGCTGACAGACAACTGGGGGAGGAGGTGACTAATAAGATTGATCCACAGACGGGAAACCTGCATAAATGGTGTGAGTAGCAGAAGCAGGAAAATAAACAGTACAATTATTACGAGAACTAATATTACACAATGCCGAACCTGGCGCCCCCGAAAAAATAGGTGCTCTCGGCATTTGGTAGGCAGGCTGCTGTGGATAACCCCTATGGGGCTGCTGTGGGCCACCATATGGCTGCTGCTGGTAATGACCGCGGCCAAAGCCACGACCTTGTCCGCCACGACCTCGATTTTCACGAATGCCTCTACCACCTTGACCACGGGGCTGCCCACCACCAGGACGGGGAACACCCCCACGGACCGCTGGGGCAGCTAAGGCAGCAAAGGCCTGGTGAACAGGGGCAGACTCCTGGGCTTGAAAAAAATTATTTCTTTGCTGTTGGGCTTGGAGGATAGGACGGAGATCTTCCAGACTTGGAATCCCTGGTAAATGATCAATGTTGTTGAGGACGGATTCATATCCACGTCCCAAACCAAGAATAGCATACTCAATTTGATCTCTGCCACTAATGGGAGAATTAATAGCCGCCAGAGAATCTGCCAAAAGCTTGATTTCTAACAAGTATTGATCCATAGTCTGGGATTCTTTCTTTTTCATATGAGTCAACAAACGCTTAAGTTCTACAGACCGAGAAATACAAGCAGACATAAATCGTTTCTGTAATCTCTCCCAAATCAAGTAAGAAAATTTCAGATCATAAACTTCCATTAAAACATCTCGAGCAAGAGTAGCAAAAAGCCATGAACGGACAGTTTGATCAATTTTTAGCCAATAGGTATAATCAGGAGTAGTAGATGGAGGGACCGGAATAGACCCATCTAATACACCCAAAAGACTATGAGACACTAAAAATGATTCAAACTGGGTTCTCCAAGGCAAATAATCCTCAACAGATGACAGACGAGTAGTCACAATATTACTCACTTTAGGAGTTGAAAAGGCCAAATGAGATGCTAGAGATGATAATAAACTGTGAGGAGTAGGAAAACCTGCCGGTGAAACTGTCTGTGTGGAGGGAAGAGGCGCAATACCAGGATGGCCGGAGAAGGTAGGTCCGGAGAAGATGCGGGATGAACTGCCCACTTCCGGAAAAACAGGAGGGGGCGGCAAGATTGGTGTAGCCGCAGTATGTGGTGGAGCCGCAGGATTTGTTGAAGGAGGCGACCAAGTAAAGGGCTCTGGCATTGGGAAGAGCCCGTATGAATCAAGTGATGGAATACCACCAAGACGCTGTGATAGAGAGACCGCGAAGGGAGAGGAAATCGGCGCGGCCTGGTAAGGTGAAGCCATGGTTGTCGAGAATTGCTGAGAGGAAAGGCTGATGCTGCTGGAACCGGGACTGAAAGATGGAGCACCAGTTAGCGCTGGATTGACAGGCAAGGTAATAGAGGAGGAGAGCGCCATAGTGTTGGCGGCCGTGGAAGCTGCGTCGCTGGCCATGGATAGATCGAAGGAGAAAAGAAAAACCTTATACGTCTGATACCATATACAGAACCATAGTTTTAGGGAATAATAGCTTACCTTATTGGGTGCCTTGAGGTTGAATTTATACTAAAAGGAGTTTAGGAAATTACAAAGTAAACCTTTATAATTACATTATTATGTAGGAGTTCTTATTTGACAATTTTCAGACAATTTATTATGCCACAAAACTCATTTGAGCCTTGGGGCTCGGGTGTTAAATAATAAAGGGCCGGCCCGGTCTGATTTGAAGTACTTTCCAGACCTAATATTTGGGCCAGGCCCTAATTCCCGTGATGGATAATTGGTCACTTCTATTTTGTCCTATAAGACCTACCCAGCGCCACCACCATCTCCAGCTCGAGTTAGCGCTGTATTCTTCACAGTTTCCACCCTTCATCATCTCTGCTAATGATGAAATTAAATGTTTGTATGTTACGTACAATCATAATTTCTCGATTAATTTCTGTCGTCTCTTTTCACATTTTTAGCCATGGATGAATCGCTGAGGATATTCCCAATCTGAATCTTCACAACATGAAGATCAATCAATTATAATAATGTATTTCACTTTTCTGAGATCCATCCAGGCATCCTACTTCTTCCCCTTCTATTATCCTTTGCTGAAATCATTTTCATGGATCTGTGATGCTATAATGAAACTGCGTTATCTATCCGAAAGTCCGGTTTCGGAATTGATGCGGAAGATCATTCATACCTGAGATCTACCTTATCATTGATTTGTTTTCGACATTCTTTTTTTGTTATCTGAAATAGAAGCATCGATGAGGAATACTAAAACGTTATCCTTGCACTTTGATTGTCAGTGAAGAAATTATGGGGAAGTGCATCCTGAGCTGCACACATACTTTAGTTTAATTTATTTTATTATTACCACTAGCATTTGATTTATTTTCTCATATGATCTGTCAGTTAAAACATTCGCCATGATAGTGTATGGATCTTTGAAAAGCCAATTTGCAGAGCAAGGGCGTCTCGTCGATGGCGGATATCTTGCATTGAAGGTTGGCAAGATCATAATGCGATTCTCCGTGCCTTTCAAACTTTTGTGTTGATTACGGCCTCGAACAAATCGCCACATTCCATAATATTCTCGAAATGATTTGAATCTATTTGTTGTGTGAAACATATCGAGTTAGATTAGACAATTTGCACCGGTGACGGCGTCGTTAAGGTTAATTTTCTGACGCAGGATCCATTTTGCATAGAGAGAAAGCTGAGCAAGAATCAGCGGCGGCCAGACAACCGCTGAGATGAGATCCACAGATGAGTTTGATCACCATGAAACTTGTCTACTAAAACCATCTTACATCTCTATTTACCTCTAAAAATGTTTAACCCTGAACTGAATTCCCAATCTGTTTTTGCGATATTGCAATACATTTTGTTAGTTTGACAGATTATTCAAACTTCAAAGCAACGTTTCAAACATGAAATTGTGACGGTGGGCAAAGTACTGTTTCTGAATTTGTAATGAATGACAACAGATAGAGTCGTGAACTGCAAAATCCTAAAAGTTGAATGAGAAATGAGCCCTTCGTTAAATATACAATTACAGCATTTTCCCTTACATGGATGAAGAAGACTCTTACCAATAGCAGCAACTAAGGAAGATGACTCAGTGGATACGAACGAGGTTTTAGGTCTGTTTTAATAATCAGTGATGGAAATTCGAATATCACAAACTATATTAAATTTCATATTCACAATTCACCTCACTAAATGATAGATCGAACGGCAAGAAGGAAAGACTGATTTTAGGAAAATTATAATGATCATCAAACACTTTTTATATAACATTAACCACTTTTAGAAGTTACAGGGACAAACAAATTAGTTATTCTTGATGTACATAAAAAGATGTACATAAAAAGAGTACACAAATTTTACATCGTGTGTAGACGGACATTTTGACATAAAATGCTATTCATTTCAAAAGAATTGCCTTTGCAAATACTTTTTCTTCTTCCAATTAAGTTCTCACTTTTCTTTTTGGTAAGTTTTCAAATTAAGTGCACACTGTAATATTTTCCTTATTTGTCAAATTATCTACATCAAAACATTGTCAAATAGTGTTTAAACAGTGCAAAATAGTACACTCTACAGTAAAGTTAAATTATTTTCTTATTATGTGTAAAGTCAAATCGTGAACTTAATTGGAGAATGAAGGGAGTAGGCATTAAAGAGTTTGTGTATAATATGTGTACTAAATTTGTGTACACCTGGTATTCATGGAAGGAAAATATAGTTAGTGAAGTTTGGATAAGTTTCATGGGTCAAACAATGATTGTTGGACTGCTATTTGGCATTGTAATTTACCTCCCAAAAAAAATCCCGCAAAGGCTATTTATTACAAAGGCTATTTGTTCCGGTGCAAAGTGGAGGATGAAACAGCATCTCACCTTTTTTAAGACGATTTATTACAGTTTTGTAACGATTCTCTGTAGCATTTGGAAGAGATGCAATGGAGTAATGTAGAAGGGAGAAAACTTTACTGCTGCAGGAATAAAGCAAGGAGCTGCCACAACCTTAGCAAGCTTGAGAGCATTTCAGGTTCAAGGTAAAAGGAGTGCGAACCTGCAGGTTGGAGAGGGGCAATTAGAATAGAAAAAGCCACATGAAAATTGAGTTAAAATAAATGTGGATGCAGCAAGGAATATTCAAGCAATTGGATGGGCTTGGGGGTCGGTAGGAGAGTGAGAGGGATAACCAGTGGAGGAGAGGAATATGATTGATCTTTGATGATATTAAAACACTATTGAATGCTGGAGAGAATGCTTATGTAGAGTGGTGTGAATTAAGTTCCCCATGCTCTAGCTGAAACGGTTTTTTATATGTCTGATTATATTTGTATTTGAATTAAGTTCCTCATGCTCTAGCTAAAACCATCTGTTGAGTTAATATATTTCATGATTTTTCAATAAAAAATGAAGTTATGGACTTGTACCACAAGATTTAGCTATTCATGAATCCATGATATAAAATATGATTAAATCCGCATCCCTCTTACTCTTCAATAGAAGACATTAAATTGTTGTTGGATCATTTCCGTTGAAGGATTAGAAGCTATGATCATGTGAAATAAAAGAAAATCGCAAATGGTGATGGGTTAGATATTACCCTAATGCCACTACATTGTCATTTTCAAGCGACACGTTGCAGTTGTGACGTGAACCGCTACCGTAATATTACAGCCTCAATACACATGTTCTAACTTGCAACTTAGAGTCACGCTTTCTATGAGACTTGTGATATTGAGATGATACTCAATGAATAACAACATGCAAACATATATTGTATGGTGTTTTGTTCCAAGCTGGTTGATTTAGCTTTATAATAACTAAAACCAAAAGCCCACATGATTACAATAAGTCAATTTTAGTCAAATATACCATTAGGTGTTTTGTTCCAAGTTCATTGATATACCTTTATAAATGTAAAACCAAGAGCCCAATGGATTACAATAAGAATGTTTTTAATTGGACATAACTTTTTTGGTCTGGCCTGGTCTGATAAATATTAGATCTCTTTGTATTTTATAACAATCCAAGTCTAATCTAATCTGATTTGATCTAGTCCAATTTGGGACTGGAAACAACCCATGCAAATACATCCCAAGTCATTTTTAGTTATTTATTTTAATCGGTTGAGCCTATACCTTGCAATTTTGGCAATATTTCAATTATTTAAATTTTAAAGCCAATACTTTGAATTTCAAGTCGAGCTATCCTTATTTAAGTTATTTTGATCTCATTCTTTTTTATCAGTTGCAATTTGGCAGGCCTTTTGTAGCCTAAATGCAACAGCAAATAGCAAGAAGGGACAACTTTGAAATTTCAAAGATGCATACGCACGCGGTACGCCCTTCAATAATAAGGAGAGTTTTGTTCCACCAACAATTAAGTTAGAGCACGGATCTAGTATGATGTTTTTACTTGAACTGAATTTTTGATTTATTAGTATATGCATATCTCTGTGTATTTTACATCTATCGAAATCTAATCTGGTCTAATGTAATCTAGCCTAGTCTGAACTCTAAACTAGTCGGAAACTGAAATAAATATAAGCAAAGGCATCCTTAACCTTCAAAATTTTGTGTTCGTAATTAGGAGCCCTCATGGATGAAAAGCTATTTTTTCGTTAATTGTGTCACTTAGTCCCGGTCCTATTTGGAAGAACCGGAACCAAAACCACTTTGAACCATTTTTCGTTCCAGCTCAAAACATGTAAAAAGAAAACCAAGTTACAGTCCAATCTATGGATGGACCGCAATCGGGCTGACCGACCTGTGAACAGGCCTGACACTGTTTTGAACCGGCCCGGCCCGCCAACCCGGCCCTGGTCCGGTCCTGGCCGACCCGGCCTGGGTGTTATCTAGAGCGGGCACGGGTTAGGTAAAATAGGAACCGGCCTGGCCCAGCTGGGCCCGGTTCGGGCCTTTTTTTCATTTTTTTTGGTTTTTCCTGGGTTGGGCTGAGTGTTTTATGGGGGTCTGGGGGGTGGGGGTGAAGGAGGGGGGTTGGTGGTTAATTAGAAAATTAAAAAAATTGAACCGGCCCAGACCCGGTGGCATCCTGGGCCGGTTCCAGGCCTTCTCCCCCCCCCCCAAAAGCCCGGTTTGGACCGGCCCGGAGCCCGACCCGGCCCGAAAACGGTCCAACCCTAGTTCAACCCAGTTTCAGAAGTAGGTTAAACCATTTCAAGTTTCAACCAACTAATCTCTGATCATTTCGATCATTTAGTTCAATCAACGCTGAAATTAACAACCAATCAAGCAAAACTAGTCTGGAAGTTAAAGCGCCTTTTCTATTTCTTTCCCTAAAAAGAATCAATGAAGTAAATTTGACCCTCAGCGAACATTAAAGGGTCAGTTTGTTCAAACTAGCAACACTTCCCCTCAAAGATATGAAAATATTCATGTTCTTTCCCACATAAATAGAAAGGGGAACGACCGAAAGCCTTTACTTTTTCTGTGCTTACTAATTCGGTAAAGAATATCCTATTTCTTAGTATAATACACAAGTGTGTTCATAATGAGGAAAAAGAAAATTAAAGAAAAGAAAAACTCAAAATACATTAGGGCGATCTAGAGGCATCTTGCCGTTGTTTCAAAGGAATGCCCTCTTGACCAAAACCACCCTCCTCGTCAGCGTGCTTTGGAATTCGTGTTGCAGAACCTGTACAGCAATGTTCAGATAAAAGACTAGTAATAAATCACTGATAAAACTGCATGTGTATTCAGGTGAGTAAGAAGACATACCTTCAACCATGTCTTTGGTTTTGTGCAGGAGAAAGGTCCCAGAAAGTATCGTCACAAACCCACAAATTTCAGTCACAATTTGTGTAGGATTCTGCCTGTCCCAGTCCTACGAGGCAAAAGAAAGCAGAATATGCTGTCAATAAGTACAGGGAAAAAAGACAAAGCACTTATTTTTTAACTTAAGACTTTTAGGGAAAAAATGATAAGCACCGCCTATTTAAATTTCAACATGGGATGTGATTTTACCTTGAACATGATCACACTAGCCAAAATGGTTAAAGATGTAAACATAACATAGTATATCGGTGAAACAACTGCTGTGTTGAATGTGTCAAGAGCCTGCATTCAGAAGCAACACTACAGTGCTTAGCAAGGTCCGGACAGAATAGTCAGAAAAAAATCTTATCCCATGGCATTATTTTTGCAATATATAATTGAAACAATGACATAGGAGATTGTTCAAGGATCAGTAATTACCATATTTAAGTAATTCATTTGGGTAAGCACACAAACCACGACGACCAAAGTAAATGCCCATGTCTGGGGATATATTAGTTGATTCATTCCTGATAATGTCAACTTTAGAGCAATACCAATTGCTTTTACACTCATCACCTGTTAAACATGGACAGCTAAGCCAAAAAATGACATGCACAAAGATATGAAAAACAAGTGAATCTATGAACCACCTGAATCTCCTCATACATACCGATAAGGAACCTACTAGGGAACAAACTCCAATATAGCACATTATGTGTGTCTGCCCATATTTTGGTATACAGTATAATATAATAATAAAAACAGCTGCCGTCACCACTGCTGCATAAAAAAGAAACCCTGCAAGAAATTGTATGGTGATTAACATTCCAATTTGTAAGGGAGTAAAAGACAACACTTCACATATAAAGCAAGCATGAAGCAAACTATTTCAATAAATCCCATAAGCAATCATCAACATATACTCACTCGGGCTAAAAAAAATCTTTTTATGAACGTGGTTTAATTTTAGAAGTCAACTTCCATTCTTTATATAGCTGTGATGCAAGCAGCTACCGGTTTTAGTAAATTACTCGAGGCAATCCTGGAAATAAGTTTGGGTCCCAATAAGTTCTAGGGGTATAAAAGTGACCACTCATAGCTTGAAAAGGTTTGTACCCTGATTGAGTTTACTAAAATAGAATAGAGATGTTCCTTACCAAACAAGACTATTTTCAGGATGAAGGGGGTAGAACAACACACCTGGCTCAGTAGCTAGGTCCCACACTTCTTTCACTGATTCAATCTGCCGTTCTTGAGGAGCATGCAGCACAATTGTGGTGGATCCCACAACACATAATGCACAACCGAGAATGCCAAATGTGTGTAGCTTCTCTCGCAAAATAATGTGTGCAAGCACTGCGCTGCAATTGTCAATACCTCATAAGTAATAGAGAGAGAAGCAGAGAAGCAGAGCAGCTAAATGAGTTTCTGACATACCTTATGATGATGCTAAGTGCACCAAGAGGAGTGACCAGAATAGCTGGTGCAAATGCATAAGCTGCAAAATTTGCAACTTCTCCTACAACCACTGTTGCAACAACAGTAACCTATTAGACTTCCATTTCCATCGAATCTCAGTGTCTCACAAATAAAGAGCAGTAAGGTTGCAACTGGACAAGTATATCCCGCATCTGAAAATTAAAATGAGTGTCAATAATGCTTTCTACTCACTGGTAATCATTCCCACCCACCAAAGCGGCTCAGCTAGGTAAGAATATCCTCCCACTCCTATCAAAACATGTTAAGAAGATTGTTAGCCAAGTAGTCCATCTCGAAATCTTAATGTGAATGTATAGATCTTACATTATACATGGGCTTTAGGCGCCACCAGTAATAACGTATTCTCAGTAATGCCAGAAGAGCAGTGCAAAAACCAACACCAAGAAGAAGGCAAAATGAAGAATATTTATATGATATGAGTCACCATGATGAGGCAAAGTATAGTAGTTTTTAATATACAAGAAATCATCATATGCAACAAATAACATTCGTGATTAGGCGTGACAAATGGAAAATATACTCCCTCTGTCCCACTAAGATGGTTCCGTTTTACCTTTTCGGGAAATTCCACGAAGATTGTCTCATACCAAATTTAGTAAGGTTTGTGTGGTTCTAATTTCTAAATCATTCTTACTCTATTCTTACTTTATCAATTCAATATCAACCACATAAACCCACTTTTCTTAATAACTATGCCACCTCCTCTTGTCCCAATGTTAGTGGGACATAAGTAGTATAAGATAAGCAAAAACATAGGCAGAGGGTATCGATGGGTTTCTTGTTCTATAACTGGATATCAATACTCTCATTCTCTCAATCCTTAAGAATTCTCAATTAAAAAGAGTAACACTGTCCCTTTGAAATGGCACGTGAAAAGTAAATAGGGAGTTCAGCTCAAAATTCGTTGTTATTCTAGAGTAGAGAGCAGTTAGGGTCTTAAGAGATATTCAAATACCACTACCCTATGTATGTGATATGTGTAATCTAATCATCACACCTTGACCATTTGTTGTGAACCGAAAAATAAAAAACACAGGCCGGGTAAATCGTTGCGATATAATCAACGATAAAAATACCATCGCCCAGAGCCAAAAGGCTAAACCATTTTTATTCCAAGTTCAGCCAGAATGAATCCTAACAAGGAGTTTAAATATTCATCTACTAATTCTCAAACTAGGAAACAAAATCCTAGGAATCCTAATTAACTCCAACTAGGAAACAAAATAATAGAGATCCTAATCAACTTCCAATAGGAAACAAATAATAGAAATCCTAATTAATTCCTAATAGGAAACAAATAATAGAAATCCTAATTAACTGCAAATAGGAAACAAATCAGGAAAATTAAAAATAATAAATATTAATTTAAGCAGCCCGCAATTAGCCCACTAAGGTGGGCTCAAGCCCATTCCCGCCTGCAGTAAACCGACAGCCCCTTGGGTCACGGGTCCTCCTCTTCCAAACAGCCCCCTGCTCTCCCTGCTCTCTATCACCATTCAAAAAATGATCTCCTAAAGTTAGCTACTTTTAAAAATGTACCATGTTGGAGGGAATATATTCTTTAATGGGGGCTGCACATAAGTGAGTTCTGGAAATGGATGACAAATTCTCCTATACTTTTTTTTGTTTGATATTTCTTTTTGTCAAAAACTTTTTTCTGTTCCGTTAAGGCCTACATGCTTGAACATGGATGGGATTCGAACCTCTAACATCCTCTTTGGAAGTGACACAATGGTGCCTTCAGACCACAAGGTACTTGTCAATTCTCCTTTACTCTATATAGGAGTGATTCCCTTGTCACCTACTACGTTAATATCAATCTCCATAGAAAAAGATAAGCCTCTCGTCTGAATTATCTCATAGAACAAGGCTACGAGAAAAAAAGTACTGCTACTTTCTCCATTAGTATCAAGTATCAACCTTTTCAACATTAGCTTCCCATTAGCCTCACAAAGAAAAAGGAGGAAGAAGAACTGGACATAAACCTAAATGCACTAGAGAATAAAATACATTATGAAATTAGTAAAGGCTTCCCCTAGTCAAATATTTTCCACAAGGATCAGATGATGTGAATTAGGGGCACGCTTTATGTCTCAGAAAAGTGCAAATACGATTAGTTTTTGTTTCTAAATTGTATCTTCATCAAAATACCACTCATAATAATGAATAACTAATAATTGTAACAACAACAAAACAATAACAATTAGGGAGCTACTCCGTATAATATTTTTGAAGATGAAATTGGATATGATTAGTACCTGCCCTGATGCCATAAGCCGCGGCCTTTTTTAAACCTTTTTTCTTTACAATGAAGCTCGCACCGATGAATAGGCTGGACGATAAAGCGAGAACCAATCCCTTGACGTTGTCGGAGGACATTCCCTTGTAGGCATCTCTCAGGCTCTGCGATATCGAAGCCGTCGCAGAAGCCGCACCTGACGCCATAAAAAAGCCCTAAACCCTAGTAGTCTTTACTATCATCCTTCAAGGGGATAGCCCGCGGATGTCGCACGCGTATGCATATAAACACTGATGCTCACTTGACCAGCATCAATGAAATTCACTTGAAGCAAGAGACCACGAATCAGGCGGCTAATCGGGTGGCGGTGGCGCCGGTGGTAGATGGAGACGCGGAAGTTCTGAGATGATAAGAAATGGAGGGTAGGGTGAAGAGAGTGATCGTGAAAGATAAAATGGATTGGAGAGGATGGAAGTGATTGAGACTTTACCTTAACAACAGGATGCTGATATTTACCTTCTCTCCTCCATAGCAACCGGATTAATTAATTAATTAATTAATTAATTACTCCGTAATTAATACCGGAAAAGTAATCCAAAAAATGTTGATACTAACTTTGAGTTATATACTTTGGTACTTAGGAACAGTGGAAGCGCACACACTAGGGGTTGACTGTTTTCTTTAAATGTTGATACTTGAAAGCCAAATATAATTGAATTGGTTGAAAGATGCTCACCAAACACACTTGTAGTAGTATACATCTTTGAAAAGAAAGATGCCTTATCAAATGGGAAAAATAATTTAATATTATTAAAACTTACCACTTTTCTCAAAATATGATTATAAATGTTTTTTGATGTGATGTATGACCACATTATGTGGCACAAAAATAGGACAAATCAATAAAGGTGAAGAACTACACAATTGTCACTACAAAACATGAAGTGAGTATAATCATATGAATGGTGGTGACATGCATAATAAAATATAATTAGTCATATTCTAGGAAAACACATGAGTTTTAGTTAGTAATATTAGTGATAATTTTCTCCTGTCAAATGTATTACTCACACTCATTTATGCTTTTTAAATTTCATGAGTGTATATGTTGATATTAAAGCAATCAACACTTGTTCATTTGCAACACTTGTAGTAATCGTATAGTTATAAGTGGATTTGTCAAAAGGGACAGGTTGAGATTTTGAACATGTTCTTTCCATGACCTCCTCTGGATTGAGGTGAGATATGAGATACAATTACAATTCTAAATAATACTATCTCCGTCCCGCTAAAAGGTTCTCATAGCAAAATGACATGATTATGTAGGTGATAATTAAATAAAGTACTTCGGGTATATTTTGAGAAATAATTTTAATAGGCACATATTATAATGTGTTAGTATTGATAATTGTGATGTTATAAATGTATTATTTTTAATATTTAAGGACTAATTTGTCACTTAAGATTAGGGATGGCAACGGGGCGGGTTTGGGGCGGGGGTTGGCTCCCCCATCCCCCGCCCCATGTCTAAAAAGTTTCCCCCATCCCCACCCCATCCCCGCTACTCCCAGACCCGCCCCATCCCCGCCCCACCTCGGTGTCCCCCACGGGTGCCCACGGGTGCCCCCATATAGATTTTATTTACTCCATTCGTCCTATTTAAAGGCTCTCACGCGCACGGTTTACAGTGTTTGACTAACCATAAAGTTCATTGATCCCTGTCATTAGTAGAATTATTTTTAGTAAATAAAATTTACATATTCAGAAACTAGATTAAAAGTTCTATAATACCTGATAAAAAATTACATTTGATAAAAGTTATATATATAAAGTAAAGATTAAGAACAATGCACGTTGACCGGAGAATGTGGACGGGAACCTTTAAATGGGATGGAGAGAGTATCTTATTTGCATATTTTTAACCCATTTTAAAGATAAATATAAATATATATAGCACTAAAAGAAGTAAGCTAGATAATATCGTGACATCGTGCTTGATAAAAGTTAATTCCTTCAATTTTTAATAATTCTTTAATTTGAATAAGAAAAGTAAAAATATAAGTAAACATATTATCATCATGTACTAACTCCGTTCTCTTTTAATTGCAATATTGGATTTTTTTGCACTATTCACATATTCTACTTTGACTATATTTTATTAATTAATATATTATAAATTAAAAAATTTAAAAATATTGTTAAATTCTTCTCATTCTAAATTTTCAAAATATGAATTTTTCAAATTTTTTACTAATAAGGAATGAAAGATATTAATAGTCAAACTTGTGCGTTGGCAAACGTGAAATGTTGACTGTTGCAATTAAAAGAGAACGAAAGAAGTATGTCGTTACAAATTTCTCATCAATTAGAATACAATTAATTATATACAGAGTATATCACCCTTAAATATGCATATGTGTTCTATTTACTCATTTTCTTACTTTTAACACTCATATAACATTTATGATAAGTATTTTTATTTATTACGTATTATTATGATGATATAATATTTATTAATTCATTAGTCATGACTAATACACAGTTACACACATATACATTTATATATGTCTATATGTATATGCATGTGTTTGTTATATACCTCGTACTACATACTATATAATTTACTTAAATAAGGTTATACATTATTTATATGTGTACGTATGTTTGTGTGTGTGTGTGTGTGTGTCTATATGTATATATATGTATATATATATATATATATATATATATATATATATATATATATATATATATATATATATATATATATATATATATATATATATATATATATGTTTGATTAATTGAGTTTATATATATAACGGGGACGGGGCGGGGACGGGGCGGATGTAGCAATCCCCGCCCCCGCCCCATATTTTAACGGGGTAAAAATATCCCACCCATCCCCGTCCCCACCCCGCCCCAAACCCCACCCCATCCTCACCCCATGGGGCGGTTCCCCACGGGCCCCCGCCCCCATTGCCATCCTTACTTAAGATTGTTAATTGTTTTCTAAAATGGAAATGAGAATCTTCTAATTTGGGACGTCAAAAAAAGGAAAGTGGGAACCTTCTAACGGGATGAAGGGAGTACAATATAGGATTGAACAATAGAATCAAGTTCTTTTTTCCTCAAAGTTTATACTCCCTCCGTCCCATTGGGATGTTCCCGGTTTGACATACACACATATTAAGGAAATAAACTTACTAGGGGGTAAATTTTACTGTTTGAACACTGTTTGACACTGTTTTGCACTGTTTGACACTATTTTGATTTAGGATAATTTTCCATTTAGGGAAATGAGAACTTCTTACTACATTAGATACTCCGTATCTTTTTTATATATAGCTCCCCTGACAGAACCTAGCTAAAAGTTGTAGATCCAAATTCTCGATAGTTATGTGAACTACATCGATTTTCAAGACTGCTACAAATCACACAAAATCTCATTAAATGTTTGTTCTTAAAATAATAATTGTGACAATGTGGAAGTATGACACTTGCTTTTCTATTGACTGTTTACATTAATTGTCATTCCATCAATCTTATTAATTAGTGTACTCCTTTTGCTTCTCTTGAAGGTTCGTGTTTATACTAAATTTGATCATTTCTTGATCCTCATTTTCCCAGACTAAAAAGGTCCCCTTAAACTTTCTTAATTGTGAGACACATTTCCTTATAATATTATTTGATTATTAAATGTCTCTTGTCAAAAAAATGAAAAGGGATCAAACTTCGTCAAGAAAATGGTGTAATTATGGTGAAAGATTTGTTTCCACAGTGCCCAAATGGGGAGTACATAATATTTACATTTCTGAAACAAGGGGAAAAAACGTGGATAAGCAGGATTCATTTCCTGCTATCCAGCTTCGCACAATATCCAGATTCAAGATAAAAGCAAAACATACTCTTTTTCATTTTTTGTTTTTCTTTCTCTCATTGTATTTCCCTTTTCATTCAATAAAAGTTTTCTTCTTGATAAAAAGAAAAGCAAAGCGTACTTCCTCCATCCCAGTATCCCACTAAGGTTCTCATATTTCATTTTCGTTTTGTTCCAATACAATTATCCCATATTTATATCTTGACCACTAAGATAGTCTCACTGGATGGAAAGAGTAATATATAAACAACTTGCAAAGATATTACTTAGTATGTAGGCTTTTTGAATTAAAAATACTTCATAGTTGTGTGAAGTCTGAACCTTCACATTTAAACATTATTGTACATTATATCTAGACCACTAGCAAAGCCTCACTGAATGAAAATAGTACGTAGTACTATCGTATATAACAACTTGCAAAGATATTACTCCGTACTTCGTATGTAGCGACTTTTAATTAAAAATCCATAGTTCTCTGAACCTTGATATTATGTAGCCATTATTCTTGTTGTCTGGATAATTGTTTTAGGTTATATTTCATAGGGAAAACTGTCAAATAGGTCCTCGAACTTTCATTAAAAGGTTAATTAAGTCCTATAGGAGGTTCCGTCCGGCCGTCGCGATTTGGGCCAGTTACTGGTGGAATTTTTTGATGATTTTTTTTTAGCATCTTATTCACCAAGTCTAGTTTATTCATACTAAATTTCAGCTAAAAATTCAATCGGGAACACATTCAAATTAATTCTTGAAGATAACTGCGCATTTGCGCGTTCTCGAATTAATTTGAATGCGCTCCCGATTAAATTTTTAGCTGAAATTTGGTATAAGTAAACTAGACTTAATGAATAAGATACTCAAAAAATTTCATCAAAAAAATCCACCGGGAACCGCCTCAAATCGCGACAACCGGACAGTGTCCTATAGAAGCGTAATTGACTTTTTTATGAAAGTTCGAGGATTTATTTGACCGTTTTCCCTATTTCATATGTTTATTGTTAAATATCCAATTGTAATTACAACAGGCTGAGGAATCAAACCCTTGGGACATGTTTACTTCACCGGTTACTAAACGGTGCTTATTAAGACCCGTGTTAATAAGCGGCGCATAAAATAAACAATGTTGTAAGACCGTGTTTACTTCAAACGGTTTAAAACACCGCTTAACATTAAAATGTCCAAAATAACCCTATGCATATATATACACACAAACATTCATGAACACAAGTATATAATATAATATGTGTACCCATACCCCTAACCCCTTACCCACCCTACCTTACCCCGACCCCACCCACCGCCTACCCCTACCCCTACCCCTACCCTACCTACCTGACCCCACCCTACCTACCCGACCCTACCCCTACCCGACCCCACCCTAACATGTCCCCACCCTACCCTACCCCCGACCCCATAGGCCCCTACCCCCATAGGCCCTTACCACATCGACCCCACCCCGACCCACCTTACCCCAACCCCGCCCCTACCCCTACCCTACCCAACCCACCCCTACCCCTACCCCACTACACCTACCCTGCCCCTAGCGCCTCTATCACATCGGCCCCACCCTGACCCCACCACCCTAGGTATAGTGGGGTAAGGGGTGGGGTAAGGGGTATAGGGTGGGGTGATTGAGGTCAGGTAGTGGTAGGGTGGGTCGGGTAGGTAGGGTAGGGGTAGGGTGGGTTCGGGTAGGTAGGGTAGTGGTAGGGTGGGTTCGGGTAGGTAGGGTGGGGGTTGAGGCGGGGTAGGGTAGGGTCGGATAGGGTAGGGTGGGGTCGGGTATGTGGGTAAGGGGTGGGGTAGGTAGGGTAAGGGTAGGTGTGTGGTCGGGTAAGTAGGGTAGGGGTGGGATTGGGTATGTGGTAGGGTGGGGTCGGGTAGGGGTAGGACGGGGTAGGGTTGGGTTGGGTCAGGGTAGGGGTAGGGGTAAGGTGGGGTCGGGTAGGGGTAGGGTAGGTGGGGTAAGGGTAGGGGTGGGGTCGGGATAAGGGTAGTGTAGGTGGGGTAAGGGTAGGGTGGGGGTCAGTTAGGTAGGGTAGGGGGTGTCTGGTAATGGGGTAGGGTAGGGGTAAGGTGGGGTACGTGTAGGGTGGGGTCGGACATGTAAGGTAGGGGTAGGGTGGGGTCGGGGTAATGGTAGGGAGGGTCGGGTAGGTAGGGGTAGGGGTCGGGGTAGGTAAGGGTATGGTCGGTTAGGTAGGGTAGGGGTGGGGTCGGGGTGGGGTCGGGGTGGGGTAGGGTAGGGTAGGTGAGGTGGGGTAAGGGTAGGGTGGGGTCGGGGTGGGGTGGGGTTGGGGTCGAGGTGGGGCAGGGATAACAATAGGTTAAGGGCAAGGGGTAAATTCGGAAACTGAAAAAGCTTAAAGTGCCGCTTAATTAATACATGGGGGGGTGGTATGCTTAATAAGCGGCACTTTAAGCACCTCTTTCGGTTAGTAAGCGGCTTTTTAAGCAGTGTGTGTGTTTACTTCACCTGTCTTACTAACCTAACTGTGACTTTAGCAGTGAAGTAAACACCTCCTTGGAGTTTTACAAAAACCTTCTGCAGCAATACCCACGTTTTCATTCAATTTCCTCGACTGCATAATAACAATCATAACATTAATGCATAATGCGAAATAATTCAAGGTGATGTTATTGACTATTGTAGACAATGAAATCACAACTGTACAAAACACAATCGAAAACATTGCATCATATTTACTTTGGAGGGACCTCAGACTCCTGGGTTGTAAAAGGTTATTCTTATGCTTCTGTGGCAATTTGGATGGTGTATCCATAAAAAGGCTCGTTGACTTCTTTTAAAAATATGTACAAGTTAATATATTACTGCAAAAGTTGAACCGCGGCAATGGATGGGATCTTCTCACGCAGCTTCTGAGTTACAGCCACACGGACGGTCATAACACCTGCTGCAGGACCGGTGATCCGGACCTTCACTATAGGATTCTCTATGCCAACCAGCTCTAGACTTCCACCCGCCCCTCCAACCAGATATGGTCTTATCTCCTCAAGTACCTGTTTCATGTTTTTTACAGTTTAAAGTCTGTGCTTGGCTGAAGATAAAAAAGAACACAAGACTTGACCTATATAAAGTGTGGTCAGCCTAAAACCCAAATGGACCCCTTTTCTATATCCGATTCTCTTGAGCTATCTTTTCTCAAGAATTAAGCTCGTGCCTTATTCTGCTCAATAAATAGTTAGAATAAGAGCTGTTTGCCTTGCTTATTTGGCTGAAATGGAAATTAAAGAACATAATGAAACCATTCAGCCCAATCATCCTTAACAAATGGGCCCTGTGTCAATATAGCTCACCTCATCTGATATCAAGTCAGAGGTATTCAGTACCATAGCATTGTAGGTCAACACGGCACATATCTAATTATGTATAAAAGAATATACAAATTTATATTCAACACGGTGAGCTAAATTTTTATGTATAAATTTATATTAGTAAAAAAATTAAAAAAAAAAGATATTGAAAATTTACAATGAGACAAATTTATCAATATTTTTTTCATAAAAATATATTCATACATTAATAAATAAAGCGTAGTCAAAGTAGACCATGTGAATAGTGTAAAATTTCATATGTTGCATTTATTTAAGAACGGAGAGAGTATTTATTAAGACAGTAGCATGAAATAAAAATTAAACAGCATCATTGCCAAAAATCAAGTCACAAAACTCAATCTTAAAACTTCAAAACATAATCAATAATCTGTTATATAAAATAAATTAATAATTAAAGCTGACTTATATACTACGTATTTGTTAAATAAAAACATATATTTAGGTACCCTACTCAGCATGATCTAGAACAGACCCACAGAGGTGGTAATTCTGCAATTTCAAGGTAATAAAATATAAAATATTACATAATTAATAAACTATCAAACGCATAAGAGAACAAACAGTAGAAGAGAAGAAGTAAATACTTACCTGCGACTACACCGCGAGTCGTGCGACGCGAGACAGCAGCGGAAAACAGGACTTGCAGTCCTGCTACGCGATCAAGAAACAGCTACAGCAGATGTCGGAACTCAGCAGCAAAACAAACGCAGAAAGAAGAAGGGGGAAGACAAGAGAGATTGAATCGCCAAAAGACACATCCTTAAGGCGTGAGGAGCGCGCCTCTCAGATGCGCAAAAGGCCTCAAAAAGCGCCGTATATTGCGCGCCTCTTGGAACCTACGCCGCCTAGGGGTGTAAAATGCGATAAAATGTAGAGCGCTTCGCGCCTTTGAGGCGCGCTTTTTTAAACCAATTTTCTCCCTACGACCTATTATTTCATGTTCTAGTCTCATTCAGGAATAACCTCCCGCTCGGATACCAACAAATGCGGAGCTGGCTCAGGCAACTCATTGGTATTGTTGTGCTTCAGAACGCGGAACCCCATCGCATTGAAATTGACGTTGCAAAATGTGTAGTTGGGCGAAACCCGCCCAAATATTTAGGCGAAGAGGACCCCCTAATCCTCGAGGAGTGGATCCACATGTTTGATAAACTCTATGAAGCGATCAACTGCCCTATGGAGCAGCAAGTCGACACTGCAGTGTAATATCAGCATTAAGAGGTTGGCCACTGCTGGGCCACTTCGCAAACAACCGAACTTTAAGAGGGGGGGACTTCAAAGAGGCAAAGCGTGAATGATTCTACCCTCGAAGATGTGAAGGCAGCAAAGGACGAGAAGTTTCTTCATTTGAGACAGGCTCAAATGTCTGAACAGAAGTACCAAATCAAATTCATGGGTTAGCTCATTTTGCATGTGTTTTAGTACCTGAAGAAGCTAGCAAAACTCGTAAGTTCATTAACGGGTTGAACATTGGCACCCGAAATACTGTGATTGTTTTAGGTTGTTGAACCCTAAACGAACCATTTGCCAAAACTGCTATTCACTATCAGGAGCAACAACTTGAGAGGGAGGATTAGAACAAAAATCGAAAGAATGCAAAAGAGGAGAATAAGCAGAATGAAAAGAGAGCGAGGACTTGACATCTCAAAGAGCGTCAGAAAAACAACCAAGGAGAAAGAAGATTCCATGCAAGGCCCGAGGCAAGACCAGATGAATCTGACGAGATACAACAATTGTAAACTCTGCTCGAAGAATCATCTTGACGTTAACTGTGCGGGGGACCCAATAAAGTGCTACAATTGTGGCTGCATAGGGCATAGGAGTGCCGTGATGGGAAGAGGCCACAAAATCAAGGACATAACGATAAATGGCGCAACAATGAGGGGAACCGACTTGGAGGTACTAGTAATCGTGATAATAACAATCGTGGTAACCTTAGTAACCGCCTTGGGACAGCAACCGAAAACAAGGCCAAGGTCAGCAAAACAACAATGTCGCCACCCAAGGCCAAATTTACGTGATGATTCAAACCCAAACAGATGTTCACAATGTTGTGTCAAATACATTTCTTATAAATTCTATGCCTGCACATGTAGTGTTTACCAGTACCTCCAGGTCGGCTCCCCTCATGGTTGCGTCATCCACTAGTCCATTGTTTTGCCCTTTATTCTAGGCCTCTTCCCATCACGACACTCTAATGCCCCATGCGGCCACAATTGTAACACTTCATTGGGTTCTCTACACAGACAACACTAAGATTCTTCGAGCAGAGTTTACAATTGTAGTACCTCGTCGGGTTTCTCTGGTCTTGACTCGAACCTTGCCCTTGGAATCTCGTTTCTCCTTGGTTGTTGTTCTGACGCTGCTCGAGATGATCAATCCTTGCTCTCTTTTCATTCTGTTTATTCACCTCTTCTGAGTTCTTCTGGGTTTTCTTATGAACCTCTCTCTCAAGATGTTGCACCTCATAATGAATAACAGATTTGGCATAAGCTCCGTTTAAGGTTCGGTGCCCTAAAGTACTAATGAACTTTCGGGTGCCAAAGTTCAACCTGTTTATGAACTTACGAGCTTCGTTAGGCTCATCAAGTACTAAAACACGTGCAGAATCAACTAGCCCCACGAATTTGGTATGGTACTCTTGAATATACATCTCAACCTTGTCTCAAATAGAAAAACTCCTCGTACTTTTTTTTTCCTTTACATGTTCGGGGTAGAATCATTCACGCAGCCTCTTTGAAGTCTTCCCACGTAAAGTTTGGTTGCTCTCAAAGTGTTGGCTTGCCAGTGGCCCGCTAGTGACTAGCCTCTTGATGCAGATAATATACTGCAGTGTCAACTCGTTGTTCTATAGGGCAATTGATCGTTTCAAAGAGTTTATCAAATGCGTGGATCCAATCCTCGAGGATTAGGGGGTCCTCTTTACCTATTTGATCGGGTTACACCCAACTACACATTTTGCAATGCCACTCTCAATGTGATGGGGTTGCACGTTTTGAAGCACAACAGTACCAATTAGTTGTGCCATCTGTTGGATAGCCTGAGTCAGCTCTGCATTTGTGGTTATCAGAGCGGGAGGTTATTCCTAGATGGGACCTAAACATGAAATAATAGATCGTAGGGAGAAATTATGTCACTAAGATGATTGGGTTTGAACTTTGAAGTGAGACTGTTGTGACTTGTGACTCCTTCAGTTAACTAGGTATTTCTCCTTGTGTTGAAACTTTAACGTTCAAATCTTTGAAGGAAACCTTTGTACTCTTACCGTTAAAAACGAGATTTTCAAAACGTTTTTATAAAAACTAAAAAAATGAAAATAACTAGGAGAAGACCTCTTAGGAACGTGATGAGGATGTGAGACTTTAAACTATCAATCTATATGATTAAGGGTGATTAGTGCTACTCCTACTTATTGGAGTACGGTTTTGGTTTTGATGAGGTCGGTATCCAACCCGACATTCGGATCATTGATCCCCTTTCAGGTGTATTAGTAGTAGTTCCTAGTCACTTGAGATTAAATCATTGAGGTGGGGTAGTTGGTAGATAACATCGCGACTACTCATTACGACTTTCTACTCGAAGGGCTTGAAATCTCTTTTAGGGGGTGCACATTTAAGGTAGTCGTTTTGTTTACAACAGAGCAAAGTAGGTTGGAACCGGATTCCGGGGTGAGCTCGTAAATAACAATGTATTATCAGGCTTCGGGCAAAAGTCCCGAATTACCACCCATCTTAAAAGAAATTAGGAGAGACAATGTCATTGGTTTTGGAAAGAGAAGAACTATTGAGATTGTTTTCCAAAGTGAAATGGAGTATATACTTATCCATAAAGTATTTTTTCCCAAACCATAACAATTTTTGACAAATTATATTATCTTCCAGGGTTGGGTAGTACATACTTAGCGTTATGCTAATTTTAGTTATTTGTGTGTCCCTTTTCTCTCCCCAATATTTGACAGGTGATGATTATGAGGCGATTGATGATTGCGTGTTACTCAGGGCGGCTTAGGAGGACATAACAAAGATCTGGAATGAAGCATTACCTTCTCTATATTCTCTTCATTAAGCTCAAGGCCGGTTTCTTCATCTGGAATGGATTCAACAGCAAAGATCTCAGGTATCTTTTCCATCAAACGACGTTCAATGCCCATTTTCATTGTCACTACAGAACTAGGGCATGAGCCACATGCTCCCTGCATTTTCAGTTTTACAACATTGCCATCAATTTCATGCAATGCCACATTTCCTCCATCAGCAATGAGATAAGGTCGAATTTCATCCAATACAGTCTCAACATTTTCTTCAGTTAAAGGCAAGCCCACTGTGGAATTGGAAACTGCAACTGCCTTTACAACTGCACGAGCAAGAAAACCATCTCATATTGATTAATCTCATAAGTACTGTGCAATTGACAGTAATAAACAGAAGATCGGATGTTCTCGAAACTTAAAATTGTGGCACAATAGAACAAAAAGGTAGAAGCAGGATAATTACGAAATCAGGCAAAGAACACTACTTCAGAAACATAATTAACACAGTTAAGATACCCCATTTATACTAACTCTACTTTCTTATAACCAATGGGTAGAGCTAGGGGTGCGCACACATGGACATGGTTAACCATACTTTGGTTAACCGAGATTTCAGTTACTATATTTTAGGTAAGATTATCCGTACCATGACCTCTGTTAACTGATAATCGGTTAACCCAAAAACCGAAAATCAAAACAAAACCTGCTAACTAGCCTAACTTCAACCATTGCAGACCCTAGAGAATCCAAACTTCCCGTTGCAGAGGTGCTTTACTCATTTAGGCCTTAAGTCATTTAACTCATTCGTCAATTTTACACAACTATTGAACAACACAAGCAGAAATAGTAGCCAACAGAGATAAGAGAATGAGACCAAATTACTATTGACTAAAGAAAGTAAGAGACAAAATCATGGAGTAATAAGAGAAGTACAGAAGAAGGCTGATAGGCGGCGGCACAGTTCCGTGCTCACTGATAGGCGGTGGCACGGTGGTCAATCAATGGTCAATACTCAACTACTCGTCTACTTGATACCTGGCGAAATCGTCTCTAGCAGAAGGTGAAAACTGAGAAGGCAGTTGGTTGAGAACGGGAGACGGAAATTGGAATTTGGGAAATCGTCTCCGATTCATAATTCATTGCCTGACACTTTCCCTCAATTGAAGCTTTTCCAGTTCCAAATTTCCAATAATCCATATTCCATAAATAGTCGATAGGGAGGTGGTCGGAGTCCGGAAAGAAGAAGAGATCAGCAGGTTGCAGCTCGTGGAAAGTGAACAATGCTAGGGATTGACAGTCTGGACTGAGGCGAGTCAACGGCTAAGGTTGGTGACTTTGGTAACGGTTAACTGATTGTAGATGATTTCAAAATGGTAATCCGACAATTAAACCTTTTTTTCATTTCACCAGTTAATTGTACCGTGAATAATTAAAAAATCGGTATGGTTAACCAGAAGGCAGAAAATAATGGTTTTTTTTTCATACAGCTACCTGGTTATTGTTTTTATGCCCACTCCTAGGTAGAGCTAATCTCCCAAAAAAGAAAATATGAAAAAGAATTAAAAAGGAAAATCACCTTGCCGGTTAAGATTGTTAGAGAAATGAGCAGTTTGAAAATAGCGTGATGATGCCTGCCATAGAGGGTTGAGCTGCCTCCTGAAGAGTGAAACCCTAGCTCCCAGAAAACTCTGCAGTCATTGAAGGAATTGATAATCAGGAAACCTAATTGTTCATGCGTGTAGGTATACATTTATATATGACATCATACCTTGAGAGGAGGATGGAAAAGGGCTGTGGTGAAAGACGGTGAAGAGCAGGTCGAAGTGATTGTGGAGGAACAATCGATGATCTGTTGGTTCCAGAAGGAATAAATAGGGGATTGAGGGTTCAAAGCCATTGCTGGTTGCTTTGGAGAGCTCGAAAATTGTAAAATGACAAACAGAACCCGACCAAGGAAACTAATCCCGCAGCTGTAATATAAGTTTGAAATAAAATATGTGATGATAGTTTTATTGGTAATTGGTAATGTAAAATCATAGGTTAGTTAATTCTACCAAACGATCTTTTACTTGAGTCTATTTGTAAGAAGGAGGACTCATAAGCTCTATTTAATGTTTTGCATCTTTAATTGAAAATCACCTTATGGCTTTGTCAACTACTCTGGTAGAATCATGAATTACATAGTTCACAAATTGTTTAATATAAGAAAGAGTGATGTTTGAAAACAGGGCCGGTCCGTTCTATTTGGCCTAGGACACAGAATTTAAAGTAGTCTTAACAAAAAAAACATTTTTGTCTAAACTAATATGCATAATAATAATATGTCAAGACCTTTAAAGAAAAGAGTTAACTTTGTTAAATTAAATTTAGTAGAATCACGGGTTCAAATTTCAAAATAAAAAGAAAAATAAAATATAACAGAATAGGGACACTTTCTATAATCTTCTCCTCTTTTTTTCTCTCCATCCAAATTCAACATTTTTATGGCTTTAAAAAATCAACAAATATTGAGATTTGTTCAACAAATTCAACATCTTAATAAATTCAATTATAATTGAGATTTTTACGGTTTTACCTAAGAAAATCAACAAACTATAGTCATCATCATTACCCCAGTGGCACAAAGGCTCCCTCCTACAGTGAGGTAAGGAGGGTCGGATATACGCAGCCTTACCCCTGTACCAGAGCTACAAAAAGACTGTCTCTGAATGACAATAGTGAAAATGGCATCGAAAATTGCATGAACTAATGTTGTTTCATAACAAAGAACTACAAATAATCTAGTAAGCATTTTTGTTTTATTCCATCATACTCCCAAGCCAAAAAATAGTGAGTCTTTGGCTCCATTGCAAATGATGGAAACATAATCAGCAAATTACAGTGCCAACACAAAATCCAAATTTAATTACTTTAACAGAAAATTCACTAATAGCTTAAAATACAACAAGTGAACAACCATGAACTTATGGCTTTCAAAAACCTGTGAAGTAATCAAACATAGTCTAAAGGCAACACAAACAATCAACATATCATGATATCAACAATTAAGAATGTGAACTACTCATTTATCAACACTCAACAGCCGGCAAATCAACTAATTATTTATCAAATATTCATTTATAAACATTAAACAACCACAAATTAATGAATTGATCAAATAATCAATAAAACACTACAAGAGTTAAGCACTTCAGACGTTAATGACTGAGTTTGGAGGACTGGAGGAGTACCCAGTACCTAAAGAATGAAGCGTGATTGCGAAGCCTGAAACTCTGAAAGTGAGAACTCAGAAGGGCCGTTTGGACGAAGGACGAATCGCTGAATGCCTGGAGCGCAGTAGGCAGCCTGGACTGAAATTGTGATATGCCGAGAAGGGGCAGCCGGACAGGGAGGCAGACGGTCAAGGACGGTCGGCGAGTCGGCGACTTGTTGGCCTGTGAGCCGGTTGGGGCGGTTGGGAGTTGGTGAATGCCTACGCCGCTACCCGATCCGATAGGCTTTGTTCGGAAGGACTGAAGCTAACTAAGCCTCTGGCTTTTGGAAATAGTGGGCAGTTTGGCGTTTGGGCTGGACAAAAGATTTAAGATCAAAATATAGTTTTTTTTTCCAAAGAGCACCTAGTTTAAACATCCTTAAATAAAAGTTTTATTAGGAGAATATTTTCCGAAATAGAACTAAAAAGGTTTCAAATTTTCAGAAATAGGACTGTCATGTTTTTATTCCCAAAATAGGACTAATTACTGTCATATTTTGCAGTATCAGACTTTAAACATGACAATATTTTCCAAATTTTGCGAATAAAAAACATGACAGTCCTATTTTGGAATGTTTAAACTGTTTAGTCCTATTTCGGAAACATTCCATTTTTATTAGTGATTGGGCCAAAATACCCTAGGGAGAGAACGAAATTGAGTGCATAGATACTCATCATAACAAACAAACAAAAAACCGTCCTGGAGTTCATTCTCCAGGAACTCTTTTTGAATTCTTCGAGTATGTCCTAGATTCCGGGATTCATTTTCAAAAGGATGTAGTCATTTTATATGACGCTCTATCTGTGTTGGGCCAAGAGATTCTCGTTAACGCCCTCTTTTTTCGGCATCCTACTTATATGCTTTCAACAGTTATCCACTCCGCAACCCTCACAACCTTTACCACTGCTGCCCCAAGACTGCCGGACCGCCGCCGGCCACCACCGGACTGACCCCGCTACCAACGGACTGCCTTGGTTGTGCAAGAGAACTAGGGGGGCAATTGATTGGATTAATTAATTGCCGTAGTTCACCGCGCCGCCGGAATCCGCCATCGACTGCTGCTGGAGTGCTGCCGCCACCGACGGACTGCCTTGGTTGTGCAAGGAAAGTAGGAGGCAATTATTTAGATCAATTAATTAAATAGAATTAGAGGTTAAAAAAGGTAAGATTGGTCCCATTTAAGGAAAAACATACATGTTGTACTATTTTGGGAAAAAACTTGAGTTTTAGTCCTATATTGGACAATTTTCTCAAGATTAAAACTGAACACAAGTTTACACGGAATTCTATCTGATTTACAGATTCTTTTCAGAGTTAACGAGAATATTATATATTACTACCTTCTGACTTGAGATTTCCATTTTAAAATAAAACAGTTTTCAAAACATAATTAAATAAGGCAACTAGGGTATATTTTGATAAGTAATTTGAGTTGGTATATACTATAATGGGGTCATTGATGATAATTATGAAGATATAAGTGTGTCATTATTAATATTTGTGATAAAAGGGAAAATAAACCCTCGAACTATTACTCAAAAAAGGATAGTTTGAAAGTTATTTTAAAAAAAAAAATCTTTTTGTATACATTTTGGAAGTTTACACGTTTTTACATTTGCCTATGAAGGCTATTCTTTTGTTCGTGAACACTGTGGAAAATGTTTTTACAGATAAGAAATAGCATTTACATGCAAGTGTAAAAATGTGTAAACTTCAAAACGTCTACAAACAGAATTACTCATCTTTTTTACTTGTTGGTGTAGTAATTTTTCATGAGAAAGTTATCTCCTTGCCTACAACAACATGTAAAAAATGTTTTGATTGCTTAATTTGCAATGAACTGAGGCGTGTATTTTCAAGTTTTCGGGTTTAGAGGCCCAATCATAGAATCACAAATAGTTTGAGAGTTTATTTGCCCCATTTCTCTATTTACACGATAGATAAACGAGAACCTTTGCCTAAGACGGAGGGAACAAAACATTAAGTTGTGTGCACTCCAACCCTCACCCACGGTGAACCCCTTCAATACCACAATAGCAATTCATATAGGCCAAGAAAATTATATTTACCACGCCATAATTAATATATACAATCTTCTAATAAATTTTAGTAAAAACAAATTAAAATGTGTATTTTATCCAACTCTTAGATGCAACCAATGCTCTACCTCTATAGTCTGTCCAACACAATTTTACCCCGACTGAAAATAGACCGGTACATATAATGAGAACTTTCCCTTTTGTGTTGCTCTAGCTGGACAAGCCAGCTATCAGGACCGAAACTGTCCATTTATGGGCCTATGAGCGAGATATACTATATTAGACTTATACATAAGATAAACCGTAAACTAGACATATTTAAAATATGAATAATAACAAAAATATCTAATAAAGGTCATGAAAATAAGTGATTTAAATTACATATTTGGGCAAACGTAACGACACGAGTATCACATATAAAGAAAAAATATTACTTAAATTGTTTCTCGCAGAATAATGTAAAGTAAAATCACCAATACTCGCTTAAAAGAATTAAAAGCATTAAAAACTAAAGAGATGTTTAAAACTGAAGAGATGTGTCTTTTATTGATTCATTGTGTTACTTTAAAAACTAATGTATATATGTTTTTAAAACCTGGCTTCGTTTAAGACAATTTTTTTCAAATAAGACAATTTGCTTATGTTCTATTTTTTCAATTTGTCAACAAAACTTAAACATTAGGAGAAAAAAGAATGAATTGAACTTAAAAAAAACTACTAACACTATACATGAAGAAAAATATGTGGGCCTATTTTTGTCTTTATATATCTTTTAACCTAGGGCGGTCATCCCTGTTGCCCCCCTTAGGAACGGTCCTGACCAGCTTGCTACCCTCTCATTTTATTTTATTTTTCGACCTATGGTGGTTATTTTGACCGAAAAAAATGAAAGGTTTTGAAATCTTTATGTTTGTTTTAGATTGTAATTTTGAGTGTGCCCTATTGTCTATGAGAATAATGAGAGGCGATGCTCCAATAGGAGCCCTGACAGGTGCATTTATAATAAAATAGTAGTCGCCAAAATACACAAATATTCCTAATTAATATAAATTATTACACTTCTTCAAGCTGTGCGGGAGATACAATGCGCAACTGGTTGTCTTTAAAAAAATGAAATTGTTGACTAGATAAACTCTTAGTAAATATATCCGCTAGCTGGAGATGTGTAGGAACGTACTGGACGACCAGATCACCATGAGCAACTCTCTCACGTACAAAATGATAGTCAATCTGGATGTGCTTACTCCGAGAATGCTGAACCGAATTAGCTGTCAGATATGAGACAGAGATATTATCACAGAATAGTTGAACGGGAACACGAACAGCAGGCCGAGCTCAGAGAGAACCGAGCGGTCAAAATTACGCGGCTCTCGCGTACATTGCCCATTTTAATGTACGCGGTTCTCGCGTAAATTAAAATGCAATTCTAGAAAAGTTATCTTATATATACATACATACATATAAGAAAAGAAAGAATATATTTTTATATATTATCAACATTGATTTCAATGTAAACAATTTAAAATTGATCCTAATTGCCCAATTACTTTTTGTAAATAGTGAATATGTTTTAATAATATTAGGGTTATAATAAATGATATAGTCAAAAATTCATTTCTTTTATCATTAACAGGGTTTATTTCATGGTGTAACTCGCGTACATTAAGGTGTAACTCACGCATAAACATATGTAACTCGTGCATAAGAAGGTGTAACTTCATATACTATCAAATATAAACAATGAAGACAAGGAGTCTAATTGCTGAATTAATTTACATAAAAAATAAATATGTTTTGTTTTTAATATTAAGGCCATAAAAATATTTTTTAAAAATCATTTTTTTGGCAAAAAAAAATTGTCTATAAACATAACTCACACATGTGGATAAGAAAGACATATAAGAGAGATAAGAAATATATTATAGGATCGGGGAAAAACGCATGAATATAAAAAATATATTAGAAAAAGAATGTATAAATATAAAAAATATTTAACTCAAAGAATAAATAAATAATTTTTTGTTGTTAATATCAGTTGAAGAACAGTGTAGTATCATTTAGAAACATGACAGCTTTTGATAATTAAAACATTAAAGTAAAAAATGAAAAAGGAAAAAGGAAATGATGGTGGGGGGTGTTGTGTGTGACTGGAATCAGAGAACTTTTGATAAAGAAACAAATAAAAGTAAACAATGAAGAAAAATGAAAGAAACCAAGGTGTGAAAGTGCAAGTGTGTAGTGGTACCGTATTTGGACCGGCATACCATGCGCATGGTATGCCGGTCATATGGTATAATTTGCGGCCCACGAATGCACAAGTGTCGATATGTATATTTTTTTTGAGTTATTTTGTGCAACGTATATCTATTGGATATTAAATTTATGTTCTCAAATAATACATAAAATGTAGCAAATGTACACTTTTTTAAGCCTTTCACAGTGTATTAAATCCATCACAACATTTGTAGCTTATAAAGTTATTTTCTTTTGAGAATTGAATGATTTCTAACAAGCTGACTTAAAATTTAACTTTCATTTGAAACCACTTGATTGGCTTTATAATTTGATTTGGATTCTAATTTGATGTAATATATTACTTTCATCTTCACATAATTTATATACTAATTTCGTCTCACTGAACTTTAATTTGTCAAAAATACAAAATTAAAAGAAATAATGGCTCTAATATTTCTCTTAGACTTATAGCCCTTCAATGATAACATCTCAATATAAATAAACTCACGTAGCCGATATTTAAACTTTCACATTCTCTCTCTAGGGTTAGCCGCAAGGTTTGCCGCTAGTACTGTTTGTCCGCTATCGGCTTTCGTCGAGGAGCGGGGTTGGTTTTTTCCAGCCAAACGTTTTTTTATCTATGACAAGGGATTCAGGAGGAGGGGTTGTTTTGGAGCATGGTGGAGCAGCAGTTTTGTTTGCTCCGGCAGGATTGTGGACGGGTTGGGATGACTTTGTCAGGCATGGCTGTTCGGCGAAGCAGCAGCAGGAGGGTCCGCTTCTAGCAGGCGTGTCGGAGCGGTGAACAAGGAAATCGGGGATTCCTTGCTCGAGTTTTTGTAAATGCAGGTATGAGATGAAGTTTGATCAACAAGGAGCAGGATGAGAAAGAAGATGCAGTACTTTTGGTCCGACCTCCTCCTGAACCGCCGCCACGGAGTACGGAAAAGGCTAGGGTTGCAGGCTCTGGATGGTGTTTGGCATCTTCTTGCTGGAAGAAGGAGCACGACTTTTATTTTTTAGCATTTATTTATTTTATTTGTCCGGATTTTGTTGTTTACTTT